GAGAGGAATGAGCAGCAGGGAAGAGTGGATGAGGTTCCAGGAGACAGGGCACTGACTACTGTCTTCTATTACAATCAGGGATTCATTTGCCAATTACAGAGCAACCTCTCTGGGCCAGGCATTTGCAGCATACCCCAAAACCCCCAGGCTTGCCCTTAATTAATCAAATGGAGGGTAAGTTATCTCTTCCTCCTACTAGCCCAGACTGCTTTCCCTATCTTTATGCCAGGTTGCTATTAGCCATATGCTGGGAAAGGCTGGAGGCCAACTCCAGGAACACGGTTTCTCTGTCTACCTTCCTGCTATCCCCTGCCCAAAATTTTATTCTTTATTTGCATGAGATTCACATAAATTAAAATGAACCATTTTAAAGTAAATGATTCAGTAGCATTTAGTATGTTCACAGTGTTGTGCAACCACCATCTATATCTAGTTCCAAACAGTTTCATCACCTTAAAATGAAATGTAGTACCCATGAGCCAGAATCTCCCATTCCCCCTACCTTCATCCCTGCGACAACCAAATCTCTCTGGATTTACTCATTCCGGACAATTTAGGTGAATAGAATCATACAATATGCGGCCTTTTGTGTCTGGCCTCTTTCACTTAGCGGAATGTTTTTAAAGTTTACCACGCTATAACATGTATCAGTACTTTATTCTTTTTTATGACTGAATAACATCCCATTGTAGAGTATATACTAATAATTTTTTATTCATTTATTCATTGATGGACATTTGGGATATGTCTTAGTCCTTTAAGTCTGCTATAACAAATACCACAGGCTAGTAGCTTATAAACAACAGAAATTTATTCCTCACAGTTTTAGAGGTTGGGAAGCCTAAGGTCAAGGCAGCAGCATGATTGAATTCCTTGTTCATAGCTAGTGGCTTCTCGCTATGTCCTCACATGGTAGAAAGTGCTAGGGAGCTCTGTGGGGTCTCTTTTATTAGAACGCTAATCCCACTCACGAGCACTCCACCTTCATAACATAGGCTCCTCCCAAAAGCCCCGCTTCCTAACACCATCATCTTTAGGGGTTAAGATTTCAACATATGAATTTTAGGGAGACAGAAACATTCAGACCACAGCAGGCTGCTTCTACTTTTGGCTATTGTAAGTAGTGCTGCTATGAACATGCTTGTACATGTGTTTGTTTACGTACCTATTTTTCAAATTCTTTTGGATATATTTACCTAGGAGTTGAATTGCTCTGTCATATGATAGTCCAATATTTAACTTTATGGGCAACTGTCAGTGTTTTCTACAATAACTGAACCATTTTACATTTCTACTAGTAATATGTAAATGTTCCAATTTCTCCATATCCTCACTAACACTTTTTATTTTTCATTATTTTTTATTATAACCATCCTAGGGGGTGCGAAATGGTACCTCATTGTGGTTTGGATTTGCATTTGCATTTCTCTGATGACTAATCATGTTGAGCATCTTTTCATGTGCTTGTTGGACATATGTGTATTTTCTTTGAAGAAAGGTCTATTGAAGTCTTTTCTCATTTTTAAATTAGGTTGTTAGTCTTTTGTTGTTATATATTTTGGATACTAGATCCTTATTAGATAAATGATATGCAAATATTTTCTCATTCTACAGGTTGTCTTTTCACTTTCTTAATAATGTCCTTTGATGTACAGAAGTTTTTATTTTGATGAAGTTCAATATATCTATTTTCTCTTTATTGCTTATACTTTTGGTGTCATATCTAAAAATCTTTTGCCAAATCCAAGGTTATGAAGATTTACTTCTGTATTTTCTTCTAAGTGTTTTATGATTTTAGCTCTTATATTTAGGTTGTCGATCCATTTTGAGTTCATTTTTGTATATGCTGTGAACAGGGGTCCAACTTCGTTCTTTTCCATGTGGATATCCAACTGTCCCAGCACCATTTGTTGAAGAAACTATTCTTTCCTTCATCAAATGGTCTTGGCAGCCTTGTCAAAATGGCTATAGATGTATGGGTTTTACCCAAAAAAAACCTTTTAAACATCTTTGTGCTGAATGGAAAGTTCCTAGGAACATCATCCTCTGGGTGTCTCTGTTAGGTGAAGCTCCCTTAAGTGTCGACCAACTGCTAAGCCCAGCAAAGAATAAGGCCAGTCCTTGCCCTTGGGGACCTCATGTCTACGGTGATGGAATCAGCCACACAGAGAGATTGTCTCAATCGCATGTGGAACTATCCCAGTGGAAGTGAGAAATGGGCACTGCAAGATCCTAGATGAAAGGCGCTGGGGGTTCAGAAAGGCTTCCAGGAGTGGATACCTGAGCAAAATCTCAAAGAAGCAGTAAAAATTTTCCAGTAATGAAAGACGTGAATGACGATCCATGCACAGGGACTATGTGAGCATGAGCATCACCAGGTCAGATGACTTAGCCCCTAAATAGACCTTCACCAGAGGTCTCCACAGGGCAAGTGAACCAGATACTTACCCTTCCAGACAGTGAGTGGGACTCCCTCACTCCCCTGGGCTGCTCTCCAACCAAAATTCCCGCATGTTCCTTCTCGTCTCTTTGCCTGGCACTGAAGCCTATGGAACTGAAGTTGGTCACCACTAGTCCTGCCTCCATGCTTTCCCCTCTTGAGCTTCACAGGATTCTCCGAACTGAGTCCTAAAGCAAGAGCACAGTACCCTCTGTGCACTTCTCAGGATCTTAAGCAGCAGTTGACAAAGAATCTATCCATTTCTCAGGCAGATAAGCTATAGCCACGGGGGCTGCCCCTTTGCCTTTCTTTACACCCCAGCACAGAACGTGTTATCTCTGTCTCCCAGGATCACATCCACCTAGCCCCCGGGTCCTTCACCATGCCTCCAGGGCCAGGCACAGCACTTGGGCCTCACAGCCCAGTGATCAGAGGCATGCCTGCCCTGTGATTTCATGGATGGCTAAGAGATTCCTCTAAAGGCTATTCCACCCCTTCACTGCAGCCCCTCTTACTGGGCCACCTGGAATTTGGTCTTTTGGGGGAAAGACAGAGTATCGCTGCTGGGAAGGGCTTTAGGGGTATCCGGTCCTGGGGTTCGTGACCCAGGGAGGCTTCAGGGGTCTGGGAACTTCAGAATACTCCGACATAATTCTGCACACTTTTCAGGGGGAAAGGTCCATAGATTTCATCAAATGTCAAAGGGGTTCATGACACACAAGGTTAAGAATCACTAGTTTAGTCTAAGTGTACTGGTGACTCAGCACTATTCCCAGTCCCCACAGTGACGGCAGCAGCGACATCAAAGGGAGGCTTTTGGGCAGAAAGTCCACCAGACTCCTGGGCTCTTGTGTTTCCCAAGGCTTATTGCACCCTGACACACACAGGAGAAGACCTCCTGAATACACGAAAGGCATAGTAAGGTCAAGGGAGGTGGTAGCTTGGGACCAGAGGCCCCGCTATTACAAGGCCCTGTCCCTGTTCACCTGAAGACTGTAGGGGCAATGACTCTATACGCACCTATAACACAAGATGGATCAGAAAGCTGACTAAAGGACTGAATTCTGCTGGGCAAAGTCCAGGGACTTGGAAACTCATCCAGGTCCACTACTGACTTCAGAAAATCTGAGTCCTCTCGCTTCCCCACCAAAACAAGCACACAAAACCTGCACCTAAACCTACTGTGATGGTGTGACTTAAGTTCTCTCTCCAGGAATCTATGTGCCCATCTTTCTGGTTATTTGACTAAACTCTCCTCCTTCAGGAAGCCTTCCTTGCTTAGCTTCTCCATTTCGGTCACTTCACAACCTTGCTGCGCTGGGCCGCCCCTCCCTGACTTGTATGAGTGTGTGGCTCTACATGTGTGTTCGTCTCTCCTATCAGCTTGAGATCACCCCTAGGGCAGCCTGCTTTGGTCTGCCTCCAGCCTCCCAAAAGGCTTGTGCCTTTGTGAGGTGGGACACATCATCATTAGGAGTGGGCAATTTGGAAAGATTGATGCACTGGCAAGAGTGCACATCTGACATTACTCAAGGGGAGTTTATTGAATATACAGCAGAAATTCAGAGTCCTTGATTGAAGCGAAGGAAGAACTGGGTGTTGGCATTCTTAGGAATATTTACATCAAGATCTATGACTTCTGGGCTGGGAGGTACCACCAGAGACAGATCAAGTTTTCCTCACTGAACACAGCTCATGGCAACAGGAATCGAGAGACAGAAACTACTGCAGGACACAGCCCCAGAGAGAAGAGCAAAGATAAATCACATACCCACAGTCCTTAACAAAAGGCAATGTAATTATGCTGCCCTCCTCAAAAGAACCATGAAATTGACACTACCATGGAAGGAACACAGACTTTGGGGTCAGCCAGTTCTGGGTTTGTCTCCTAACCCTGGCACTTAGTGGGTGACAGGAAGTGGGGGGAAATTATGCAGCCTCTCAGAGGATGGGGCTTCTCGTCTTTCCCAAGGATGCTGATTGCATCTACCTTGTAGGATGGGTGAGAATTAGAGGCAATGCCTGTAGGCAGCCTGGCACGTAGTAGGTGCTTGATATATGATAGTAGATATTACTGCTAATAATGTGGTGGTGGTGACACAGGTGACAGAAGATCCCTAGTTCTCCTTTACTTGGTTTTGTGAATGTGGGTACAGCTGGTGGTCCGAGAGTATAAACATTTTCTCCTAAATACTGGAGTCAATCTACAAAAACCTTTCCCTCTCCCCTCCTTTTCTTTCTCCTCTTTCTCCCTCTCCTCCCTCCTTCCTCTCCTCTCTTTTTCTGGATGATCATAGCTTCCCAGGACCAAGGAGATAATTGTAGCTTGCGTCCCTGCCAGTTGAAGGGAAAATGAGAAGTCACAAAGTCCACATGGGACCTGAAGAAACAGGGAGATGACAGCTCTAATCAGAACTTGACAGTAAGATAAGTCACGGTGCAGATGGCCAAGGGTACTAGGACTCCGAGTGGAGGATTGGGGTGTGGCAGACATCTTCAGCCAGAGTGAGAGCAAGGGCATCTCTTGTCCCGGGTGCTGAGGTGAGTGGGGTTGTGTGGCTCATCGGGTAGCTTTCCTGGCTAGTGCGCTGACGGAGGTGCTCTTGCCTTGAGAGTCCTTGGGGTCTCCTACTTGTACCCCTTTGCTCTTGGTCTGCTCACTTCGGGTGCTGCCAGAGCTCCCTGCAATACCACTGGCCCCAAGGGCAGTACTCACAGAGGAGCCAGGGTGGTAGCTGCTTGCACTGCTGCTGCTGATGACAGCTGAGAAGAAAGGCCCAAGAGCAGGGAAGAGGGACAGCAGGGTAAGTCAGCAAGTGAGACATCTCCCTTAATCCCACAGCAACCCTCAGCATCAAGAAACACCACCAAGATGAATGGAGACCTGATTGTGTACCCAGCTTTGTGCGAGATGAGGACAACACAGAACAGACATGCTCCTGCCCTCTTGGAGTTTCTAAGATCATTTGGCTCTCAAGGCCATATTCTCAACCTTTCTCTTGATAGGTTGAGAGCCAGAAAGGGTATGGGGTGGGCATGACTTTAGTCACTGTTTCCACGGGACAAAATGGGGAATAGGTTTCCTCTAAAGCCGGAGAACCTTCACAAGACAGTAACAAAGGTTCTGGGTGGCATGAGACATTTAGTGGAGGAACATTGCTTTTTCCTGGGGTCCCCTGCTTTCCCATCCAGCCAGAATCCCTACCCAACCCGTCTCTCAGAGATACTCACAGATGCTCACAGAAGATGGATTTTCACCAGACATCCTGAAGGACAGAAAGTTAAAGGAGAAAACCTCAGGGTAGTGTTTAGATTCAGCTAAGCATTGATGGGCTCCTACTTCTATATGAATATTGTTTTAATTCACTTTTATAACAACTCGTGAGCTGATAATGGAGCTTATAATCCCCATTTTACAGATAAGAACATAGAGACACAGAGATATTAAATGATTTAACTGAACCATACAGCTAGTATGTGGCAAAGCCAGTAATTAAGAGGTCTATCTGACCCCACTGGCTCTTTCGCACAGCACCACCCAGCCACCTGTGCTTCATGACTCACGTCTGATCTTTCCTTGCAGAAAGCTCCCAAATGCCCCGCTCTTTCCACCAGGGAGCCACCCACAGCCCTTTCTTCCTTGGCAGCACGACATTCCTCCATCCCCAGTCCCCTTACCAGCACTCCTCGCCCTCCAGCAGCTTCCGGTAGGTGGCGATCTCCATGTCCAGGGCCAGCTTCAGGCTCATGAGCTCCTGGTACTCACGCAGCATCCGGGCCAGCTCCTCCTTGGCCTGGTGCAGGGCGGCCTCCAGCTCATCCAGCTTGGCCTGGGCATCTTTCAGAGTGTTGTCTCCCCGATGCTCAGCATCGGAAATGGCTGTCTCTAGGTTGGCGCACTGAAAGGCAAAAAACAGGGAGATCATCAGAACACAAAATAAATATTAGATCTTAAAGGCTGGGTAGCACAACACTTTCACTTTCCAGAGGAGGCCCAAGGTGACAGCAAGTAACAGCTGCAGAGCCAGCACTTGACTCTTTGTCTATTGCAGACGGATATTTATAGGAGTTGTCATGAAAAGCTGTTGGAGCAGTTGCATTTTAGGAATGGAAGCAGAGACGTCAATGTTTGCAAAGTTATCTAGTGCCTGGGGTTGGAGGTCACCAATGGCTGCAGTTTCTAAGTACGCCAGATCCAGAAGAACCCTACTGAGACTCCAGCCAGATGTCTCTAAGGATCAGACAGCATGCCATGTGTCACTGTGATCAGATTACTGCCTGCAAGAAGTGTCCCAGCAGGAACCCTTCCCACACAGGACCAAGAGTGTTTCAGCACTCTGCAGGAAGGGTCTGTTTAGATGCTCCCCAAGTCTGGCCTGAATGGGTAAAAGAGCTTTCCCTTAGGGCAGGGAGTTAAGGGCCTGAAATTAGACCCGTGGCCTCAGAAACTGGGCTCTGATGAACATTTTGCAGCCCTGTAATCACAAGTACTCCCGGGGAGAAACGGTCCTCATGTAGTCTGTGAATCAGCCTTATGTATAGTCACAGCTGTCCCCGTGTTCCCCACATTGACTGGCGTGGACAGTTGTGGGGCACGGGGAGGAGAGCAGACCGAACTTTCAGTTTGGCGATTCTGTCACTAGCAGAGTTGACCTGGTTCTTTGGGGAGGACACAGGAGGGATTCCCCATCCCCTTAAAATCATTTCCCCACTAATATGGTGTTTAAGGTTTTGCTGCTACCAGGTAAGACAGGGTCCCCCTGGTGAAGTGGAAATGATACCACGGCACAGGGCAAGGGACCCAGGAGGGCTTCATCTGCTATCATCCTCACTCAGTCCCCAGGACCACACCCCACCCTGAGGGCAGGAACTTAACATGGCCACAGAGAGGTCTGGATGCGCACCCCACACATCCCACATGTGTTGAGTGTCTAGTGGCAAGAGGACACATGGGACCTGTCCTCAGAAGGGCACACCCGAAGAGGACATGGGGCGGGCTTGTTGCACACAGAAAAAGTCTGATAAACAGGGAAAAAAGAAAGAGAAAAACTGAATTTTAATCCTGATTCTATTTTAAAAAAAAAAACAGCTGGGGACCCTGGGAAAGTCATTTCCCCTCTCCAGCCCAGTTTCTTTGTTTAAACTGTGGAGTCAGATGAAATAAACTTGAGCGCTGGAGGAAGAGAGAGAGAGAGAGAGGAAGAGAGAGATGGGTTCTACTGAGATTGGTTCTATGTCCCTGGAGAACCCTAATACACTTCCTCTCCGTCGGGCTCCAGTTTCTTCATCACAGAGGGTGAAACACACACACACACACACACACACACACACACACACACACACGCACACACGCACACAGTGTTTTCTGAGGTATTACTGCTCACCTGCTTCCTCACGTTTCCAGTCTCACATCGGATCCTCTGGATGAGCCGGTTCAGCTCTGACATCTCGTTCTTGGTCTGTCTGAGGTCGTCACCATGCCGGCCGGCTGCCAGTTGCAGCTCCTGGATCTGGTTTCCCAGGGAGAGGAAGTTGGTGATGAGACAGAACTGCCCAGCTCCTCATTCAAGGTAGGGGAAAGGTCCTAAGCAATAAATTCCATAGCTGGAAGGAGCCAAGAGAGTAGCTCCAGAGCAGGAAGTGATGGAGCTAGGACCTGGGCATCTTTTCAGATGTTTGGTGGTGATTCTGACACGAGGTCCACCCACTTCTCTAAGCAGAACCTATTTGCTGGGCTTATCCTTCTTCCTCATCACCCTACTTGCAGTCTTTCCTGGGCTGAATAAAGGAAAGAAGCAATTCCCATTTATTAGGTATTTCCTAAATATAAGAAGAGCTCTGACCCTCTCCACTCATTTATCGTCTCTTTATAGAAGCATCTTTTAAAGGTCAGGTTCTGCTCAGGTACTGGGGATACACCCATGAAAAGGGTAGGTGTGGTTCCTGCCCCCCATGAAACATATGTTCTCCTGCAGCCCTTTCATAGGGACAGACAGAGGGCCAGAAAAGCCAAGGGCAGCAGGTACCCTTGGGGTGGTGGGATTTTGGACTCGTGGCTTGAAACTCAAATCTTCCCCTCTCCCCTTGGCCAGTCCTTCGGAAAAGAAGGGCTGACACAGCCATGGACAGGGGCGAGGAGCCTGTGATCCTTGCCATTGGTGGGCCTTGATCAATGCAAAAAGAAGTGCTAAAGCAGGCAGGAGTGGAGTCCTGGCGGCCCCCCCGGTAAAGGGTCTTCTCGGTGACAGCCCTGAAGCATAGCTCCCCATACTCACGAGGCTCCTAGAATTCTACTTCCTCCTCTTGGAAGTCCTCCCACACTGATCAGAAAAGAGCTCCTAGCTTCATCTTCTTTACCACCCTCTCTGTCCCCGGCCCACCCATAGCCATTCTCCTCCATGTCTGTTACTCTACTGCTGCCACGTGGCAACATGTCCCAGCTCCTGGAAGTACATTTGTTTTACAACAAGGACACCTCACTTTTTTTCTTTCACCAGAAGGTTACCTGTTTTTCTCTGTTGGATATGCCTGTCCATACCAGTTTTGTGATTTATCTTTCATAATGATCTCTGCCAAGAATTCTTTTTGGGTAGAATAGCTTTAATTCAATGGTTATAATCACGCTTTCATTTGGCACATCTACAAAGGTATCTCTCACATTCACTGGTGGAGGTGTAGTTTCCTAGGAAAAGAGGGGATGATGGAGAAGGGACATCCCTCCACCCACCCCCCGATGCCCACCTTGCTCTGGTACAGGGCCTCAGCCTCAGCCTTGCTCTTCAGGGCTATCTTTTCATACTGGGCACGGACCTCGGCGATGATGCTGTCCAGATCCAGGTCCCGATTGTTGTCCATGGACAGGATGACAGAGGTCTCACTGGCATGGGTCTGGATCTGAGCCATCTCCTGAGTTGTGAGGTAAGAACAGAGTCAGGGTCCCTTGGCCTTCCTCCTCTGCCCATCAGTCATCCAGGCCTGTAGCCCCTGGCAGAACGAGCCAACGTGGAGGGAAGAAGTGCGGGCTGGAGATCTGTCTGTTAGAGTCGAGGGAGAAGGCTCAGAGCAGCAGGAGGTACCCCACATGGGCAGCAGGCAGTGAAAGGCATTTCCTCCCACTCACGGAACCAAGAATCTGTGCTTTAGTAGGACTTCATGGGGTCGTTTTTTTCCTTCTGACGGGCAAGGTCACTATCTTGGCTCAGATTGGATTGTCTCCTATGTATATGGCCTCTTGGGACTAAGATCCTACACTTCCATGGTCTCCCAGTACAAGGTTTTGCACCTTTCCATAAAAACATCCTTCCTTCTGTTTGTCCTAAGTTGCTCCTATTGGAATCTCCTTGGAAAAGCTGGGCAAAGCCCTCAGCTGGAAAGAGGCAGGTTGGGGAGGAAGAGGAGTGTCCTCACCGCATCGTACAGACACTTCAGGAACTTGATGTCTTTATCCAGAGAGTCCACTTTGGCCTGGAGCTCCACCTTAACTGTGTAGGCTGCATCTGCATCCTGCCAAGGGGAACCCAGAGTCATCGATCAATACAACCCTCATCCCATCAGCTGCCCTGTCCCTGCCCAAAAGCCATTCGATTTCTTATGTTTTGCCCACGAAAGGAAGTATATTGATGGTTAAAATTACTTAAAATTGCTTTTCTCTCAGACTCAATGAATCTTTGGGAATATGGAAGGGAGAATGAGGCCTGCTCTTCTTCTGCTACACCTGAAGAAAATAAAGTCCAGAAAGGTAGAGTGAGTTTCCTCAAGTCACACAGTAAGGCTGAGCTGGACCAGAATTTCCTCAGTTCCCAGACTAGAAATCTGTTTCTGTCTCTGCCCGTTTCCTGGGTATATGTCCTGCCTCTCCAATATACTGGAGGCCAGAACCAACTCCATCCTCATTCAGGCACCCAAGGAGGCCTGGACTGAAGTCTTGCGCAAAGTTGGTTAGGATGAGGGTGCAAGAGAGATGAAAATCCATAGGCTCTTCTCTCCCTTACCTTCTTGAGCACCACGAACTCATTCTCAGCTGTCGTGCGTCGATTAATCTCCACCTCATACCTGTGGGCAAAGAGAGAAGGTATCAGAGGCCTCAGTTCCCTCGGCTAAGTAACCTCCTCTTCCCACTGGCTGGGCAAATGCTCAGAATATAAAGTCCCTAGAAGTGAGCACTGCAGAGGCTGGTGGGGACTGTACTATGTCTCTGAGTTACCTCACTTACATTTCACTCACTGGATTCTAGGAAAATATCCAGGTACCTATTAAGCTCCCCAAACCAGCCACTGAACCAGGCAGTGGATCAATGAGCATAGGAACTCTTTTCCATCTACCAAGTAAGAAGCTCTCATCAAACAGGGTCGGTCTTTCCCCCATAACCAGAGAAGGGATGTGAGCCCCTGACCCTGGTACTTGCTTTCTTCCTTCCTAAAGTGGCACAAAAGTTGGGTGAGCCCAGGAGTCTCTGGGAGCATGACCCATGCATGACCTTTGGTGGTCCCTGCTCACCTCTTCTTGTAGTCCTCCACCAGGTCCCGCATGCTCCTCAGCTCCGAGTCCAGCCTCACTCTGTCCCCAGACAGCATCTCTAGCTTTTTCCGCAGGGTGCTAATGTAACCTTCAAAGATGGGCTCCAGGTTCTTCTTGCAGCTGTTCAGGTCCAGCTGCTGCAGCAGCTCCCACTTGGTCTCCAGCACCTGGTTCTGCTGCTCCAGGAACCGCACCTGGAACCACAATGGATGCTATCATATCCCAAGGATATAAGCCATTGACTCCCCAAGTCATATAGATTTTCCTAAAGCCATTTGGCTCAAGTCTTGACTCTCCACTCACGGAATTCCATGCAAACTAGGCCCCTTACAAGGGCTCAGACTATAGCCTGCTAGACAAAACCAACCGTTGAAAACTCACTGAATAAGGAGACTCCCCAGCTTTCTTCTGTTGCCTGACCCAGTTCCCAGGAGATATTCTTCCCTGTATCACAGCTAAGTGTTTCTTCTGTACCATGAGTTTTTCCCTCTGACTAGTGCTAATTCTATTAGCCCTTTGTTTCTTTAAAGAGCTGGAAGTTTGTCCAGCTGTCCTCAGAAACCCATCACTTCTTTCTCAAGGTTTCTAAATGGCTACCCTTTGCGCAATTTCCCACCCTCGTCTGTAAAATCTCCAAAGAAAGCAACACGTTGTGTATTCCTTTGTGGCACCTAGCTTACAGTTCTGTTCTCCTCTTCGTTGTGATCAGAGAGCCTTTCCTGAGGTCTAGCGGCAACCTTTCTATCTGCAATGCTTTGTCCACTCCCAAGAAGCTGGGAATCACTCATATCTCACTGAACTGTCTTATCCTCCTCTTACGAGACCCACCTTGTCGATGAAAGAGGCAAACTTGTTGTTCAGAGCCTTGATCTGTTCCCGCTCCTGGGCACGTACTTTCTGGATCTCAGGGTTCAGCTCCACGTTGAGGGGGGCCAGGAGGTTCTTGTTGATGGTGACCTGGTGGATTCCCCCAGGTGGGCACATGGATGGGCACACAGGCCCCAGGGCCACACTGCCAAACATTCTGCCAGCAAAGCCAGTGGCCCGGCCCCCTCCATACCCAGTGGCAGGCCAGAAGCTGTAACCTCCAGTCCGAACACTACCACCAGCCACGTTGAGGGGAATACACTGACCCCCTCTAAGACTGTAGAGGCTCTGACTGCTGAAGCTAGCCCCAGCTCCTTTGCCATTCACACGGTGAGAAGCCACACTGCCCACAGCCTTCCTCAGCGCCACTGCCGAATGCCCACTGAAGCCCCCTTTGTTACCACCAGACTTGATGTTCAGTTGCAGACTCATGGTGGGAAAGAGGGAATTGACAGAGCTGGAGAAAAGCAATCGCCAGCAGATAGAGAGCAATGATGGGGCACCCAGAGGACTGGCTCCTTTTATCCTGTCGAGTTCCGGCCACCGGAAAAGGGCGTCTCTTCACTCTCTCCTTTCCTCCT